TAATAATGTGTGAGCCGGAGGCTAAAAAAACTGTGAGCTGGCTCACATTCACTCAGCTTAGAGGGAGCACTGATGGAGACTCCCCCCCCCCCTTCCAGGGATCCTGAATTCTGTGGCCCGAATGATAAATTCCGGGGGCCCTGCATGGTATTAGGCATGCCACAGCCCCGATCCTTGCCCCACACAGGGGCACTTGAAAAGGACCCGGTGGAATTCGCACCCAGCGCTGCAGAGAAGAGAACGGGAGTTCGGGTCAGCCCCACCTCCCCCTTCCCCCTTTTCCTTTTCTCACGTTTGAGTGGTGATGGGGGGAGTCCCAAAGGGGAGCGTGCCGCTGCTCCTTTGAATATGTATGGGCCCCGCCAGCTCCCCTTTCAGCCTTTTGAATCAGGGCTATTACTGTGCTAATTGAGTGGGTCTGTCCACAGTGGGGGGGGGGGGACACAGCAGCCCGGGCAGGGGACAAGCAGACTGTCAGGGAACGGCCCCGCACGCCTGTCTGGCTTGTTCGTTCTTCTCTGGCGATTCTGCGACTTGCCCTAAAAACCCGAGCCCACGGCAGCATCCGCTTTACTGAAAGGGGCCGGCTTTTGCCAGTAAACAGAAGGGGGACCCTGGACCGGACCTTGTGGCTCAGTGGCAGAGCCTCTGCCTGGCATGCAGAAGGTCCCAGGTTCAATCCCCGGCATCTCCAGTTGAAAAGATAAAAGGACCAGGCAGGAGGTGATGGGAAAGACCTTTCTCTGCCTGAGACCCTGGAGAGCTGTCAAGAGGGGTCGTGGCTCAGTGGTAGAGCCTCTGCTTGGCATGCAGGAGGTCCCAGGTTCAATCCCCGGCATCTCCAGTTAAAAAGGACCAGGCAGGACGGGATGGGAAAGACCTCCGCCCAAGACCCTGGAGATCTGTAAAGAGGGACCGTGGCTCAGTGGTAGAGCCTCTGCTCCTCATGCAGGAGGTCCCCGGTTCAATCCCCAGCAGCATCTCCAGTTACAAAGGACCAGGCAGGAGGTGATGGGAAAGACCTCAGCCTGAGACCCTGGAGAGCTGTCAAGAGGGGCTGTGGCTCAGTGGAAGAGCCTCTGCTTGGCACGCAGAAGGTC